CGGATTAACAACGCGCGAAGACAAATACCCGACGCGGCCATTAAACGTGATTGTAGACTTCATACTAGTCATTTCGATGACTGGCATCGATGACCTGCCGTACGATGTCGTCACTCGTCCTCTCCACCCCGATACCGAAGTAGCAATAGTCCTTTACTAGCATATCCTGTCCGCATAGTGATTTTAAGTTACTCCAGGACATTCTCTTTTAGAGGGGGTACGTTTCCAGGCCTTGTAGTTTTTTACAGATTCAACGAAATACTTAATCACACTATATGTAAGCTTCATCGCGACATCGGAAACAGTTGCAGTACCGTACATTAGTTCGTCGCTGACGGTTAGTTTATTTCTTTCATGTTAAGTTTTTTGTAGTGGGGGGTCTTCTTTGCTGCTTTTGGTGTATTTTGTGGCGGAAGTACAGCGCCACTTACAGGCCCGGCATATGTACTACAGCGTCTCCAGCGAGTCGAGCTATCTAGTGTGAACGGAAGACTTTTCTGATATCGAATTTGGTTCGTTCTCTATTTCCTCTCCATGTAAACGGGGTCTGGAGGTGTCATGGGGGATGGTGTCAGGACTGAACTCTTTGTCTTCAAATCTACAGTAGAACTGATTCAGATCGGCGTCGGTCGTTCATGGAGAGTGAGGCTTTTGGCTTGTAGTTTGTGATCTGTCTTAGATCACGCCAGACAGAAGCAGAGTCGTTTGCTGAGAGCTGGTGTTGGAGTTTCTCAGAGTATTGCCGTTTAGCATCTCTCACCGTCTTGCTAAAGACGTACTTCGACTCCCTAAAACGTGCCTTATCGCCACTCCTAAACACCTCCTCCTTTTGCAATCTTAGCTGTTTCAGTTTAGGTGTGAACCAGGGCTTGTTTTTGTTGAAACTCACCATGGTGCGTGCTGGTACACAGCTGTCCTCACAGAAGCTGATGTATGACGTCACAGCCTCTGTATATACATCCAGACTTTGAGTAGCAGTCCTAAACATGTCCCAGTCAGTACAGTCCAAACACGCCTGAAGTTCCTCCATAGCTTTACTGCTCCACTTCCAGAATGTCCTCACAACAGGTTTACACAGTTTAATTTTCTGCCTGTATGCAGGAATCAGGTGGACCATGGTGTGGTCAGAGTGGCCCAGTGCAGCGCGGGAAACGGCGTGATAGGCTCCCTTGATGGTGGTGTAACAGCGATCCAAAATATTCCCCTCTCTGGTGGGGCATTTAATAAACTGTTTGTCTTTTGGGAGTTCGTGGCTGAGGTTGCCTTTGTTCAAGTCACCAAGAACAACAACTAGGCAGTCCGGATAAGTCCTCTCCACACACAGTATCTGGTGGGCGAGTGTGCGCTGTGCCTCCTGCACGTTCACATGCGGTGGGATGTAAAAACCGATCAGTATGAATGAAGAAAACTCGCGGGGGGAATAGTAGGGTTTGCCGTTGATGATAACAGTTTCCAGAATCAGTGCTGCAGAATCACTGTCATATCGTTGCGCCAGCCACTGTTAGTGTAAACACATATTCCTCCACCTTTTGATTTGCCAGAGAGCTCCGTGTCACAATGCGCTCTGAACAGCTGGAAGCCTCCCAGCTGCAGTGCAAGTCCGGAGTCGATCCACACAGCCAGGTCTCATTGAAGCACAAAACACAATATGAAGAAAAGTCTCTGTTTTTACTAACCAGTAGCTGAAGTTCGTCCAGTTTATTGCTTATGGAACGCACGTTGGAGAAAAATATTCCAGGTAGCAGCGTGCAAAGTCCGCGGCTCCGGAGGCGCACAAGTGTCCCGGCCAGTTTCCCTTTCCTGTGGCGTTTCAGTGCTCGGATGCACGTGAGGGTACCTTTTACAAGAATGTCCAATAATTCCACGGAAGAACAGATAAAAGTGGGAAAGTAATCCGCTGAAGTTGTTTCTCTAATGTTTAGGAGCTCTTCCCTGTTGAAAGAGTTTGGTGTACTGTATGTAAACACTGAATTAACGCACAAAACATGACAAAACAGAGCGCACCAAAACACCGAAGCAGCCATCTGCGGTGCCATCTTAGTTCCGAACCTATTCAAGGTTTATTGTACGCTGTTCTGCAGTGTCCCTGTGCTCTATTCATAAAATCATGGTGTCCTTGCAACATGTATATCATTTATTATTAAACTTGGTTACATGTAAGTGGCTTACTCCTGCATTCCCGGAGACATATACTTTTGTTTACTAAATGAACTTTTGCCCGGGTATCCAGCATCTTCGCTTTCAGTAAAAACCTGAGCATTCCTATCAGCCTCCCACAAGACTTTGTTTATGTTGTAGCGCAGGGAAGAACAGCAGGAAGGAAGGCATAAATTATCTGTTGAGTGTTGGTGAGCTGTTATCTGATCATTCTGAGCTGTCCCAGCATGGGTACTGCTGGGAAAACGTCTTGAGCAACAAACCGAATCCGATAACAACAGTTTTCTTTGCTTTGCAGAACCGTAGACCTTTAAATATCACCAGTGAATAGCTGACAGTCGAGGCTTCAGACCAGTTATTAAGGTGTTTATTTTCTCTAATTTTCATGTATATTTTCTGAATTTCAGGGTCTGCTGGTGGCCACCATCTTCTGCTTTTTCAACGGAGAAGTAAGATGTTTTTATTTATTTATTTAAACCTGCATGCACACACATACATCCACACTCTTCCAAACTTCCCCTATGTGATCAGGAATAGACAAGGCAACTTCCTCTGCATGACCCGCAGCAGGATGGTAAATTAGCAGAATGTCTTGACAGCCTCAGTTCTTCGGGGCTTTGCCGGGGACTTAGTATTGTTTACGTTTGGAAAGCAGCCAAAGATTTTACTCTGATTGTTTTCAATTATTCATGTGATTGATCTGATTACAGAATAGCTTGTTACCGCCAGAAGTGAATGTCTAAAGAGCCATTACATAACTCCTTTACCCTGTTAACATAAAATGGAGAAAAGCACTGCTTTATTTTACACTTAACTGCTTTGAATTTCTATTAAACATCTTATAACAATAATGGGTTTATTGTACGCTCAAAGAAACAGTGGCATTGACTTGTCTTTATATAGGAATTTAGGCACACAAAATATATGGATATATATATATATATCTTTGACTAGAAATATATATTTTAAAGCATTAAAAGAGCCATATTGAGTCTAAGCACTTCAAATGTATGTATGCATCCACATTTCTTTTAAAAGAACAAGTCTGCCTTATCAAAAACAAACAGTTTTACTAAGAATTACTGCAAAAGCAGTTAAGAATGACTGCACTCCAAAGTAATTACAATTTCTGAAGGAAAGGTTAATATTTTGAGAAATAGCTATTAGGCTAGCTTAGCACAAAGATGTGTATCATTAGGAAACCTCTACTCTCATATTACCCTTGGAAAGCAAATGTGTTTTTTTCCCAACACATTTAACTTTTACTTTAGGTGCTTTAACCATAGTTGTATCTCAAATATGTATCCATTTCCATTAAATATGAATTCTGGTTTCTCTGGTTAGGTCCAAGCAGTTCTTCGGAGGCATTGGAACCAGTACAACATCCAGTTTGGCAGCAGCATAGGGAACCACTCGGAAGCGATGCGATCGGCCTCCTACACAGCCTCCTCCATCACAGAGGTACAGGGCTGCTACAGCATCGACGGCCACACAGAACACATGAACGGCAAAGGCTTCCACGACGCCGACGCCTCCATCTTGAAGTCAGACAGCCCCTTCGCCTGACAACATTCCCGTAACCCTGCCTGCCCCACCCACAAGCCTAGAAACTGCAGTATGTTCGGAGAGACAACCAGAGAACTCGCCTTTTCCTTTTGATATGAAGTCAGAAGCAATGTTTGAGGAAAAGGACACACTCTCACCCACTCGAAGGAAATTGTCCCCTCTCGGTCACACCGCTCTTTATCAGCATTGTACGGTGAGCTCAATACAACCACTCCTGCGCTTTGTGTACAAGTTGACACAGAACTGCTTCACTCGACCTAAGATGCATTCTGATAAACACAATAACGTTGCGATCTTTCTGCCTGACAGAATTGTTTTAAAGTGGATGAACATTAACAGCTCGACCGTCCTTCGGGGAACATGTTGTGCACAAAAAGACTTTGGTAAAACTGTAAATTCTTATGACATGGTTAGTGCCAAACCGAGAAATATTTGCCTGCCTCGTTTTTTTTCTCTTTTTTCAATACAGAACCAGAACGAAGATAGGACGTCTAACAAGTGCATAATAACACATTAAAGCTATATTATATATTTCACATGTTAAACTTAATTTATCTGAACATATTATTGTTTATTGAATAAATACCATACAGTATTTATTGAAGTTGATATGATATATTATTTTGGAAATTAATATGACTCATTGCTTCACGCAGACGTTCAATGTATTTCTTGTTTGTTTCTGTGTGCAGTTAATGCAGATGATTTACCGAATCATATCGTTAGCATGCAAGCTAATTTAAAGAGATATCATCATGCTAATGTTTGAACGTGTTTAAGTGATCCTTAGTGACCTGTGCATCCTGTAAACTACATATTAGGTTGTTATTTAACTTCTTAACACAATATTTTCACAGGGAAGCCGTCTTGATATCACATGTTCACCTATATTCATTACACTCGAATGTAACTGAAGTTTGAAGACGTGGCTCTGAACATATACTGTATGTACCACATTCCCTTTCACTGCTGTCTTTAGCCTTACTGCTCTCAGATTACTTAAATATAACCACTAAATAAGCATTATGGGGTGTTCAGACTGAACGGTACTGTGTTAGAAATGCAGGAGGCTAACGGTAAGATAATGAAATACAAGTCAGGAAATTAATTCTAAAGAAAAGGGTTGGATTTTCAAAGTCAATTTTTCAACATCAACTTACTAACTTAGGAACCGTAGCTATTGAACTGTATGTATGTATATTACATCCCATTCGTAACTTACTTAACTTATGTGCAGGATTTAAGCTAACAAATACACCTTTTGTCTTTTAAGGTTGTTAGGAAGCTAGAAGCTAATGTTGTTTATGCTAACGTTAAACAACATTATGCTAAGGTTGTTAGCACCAAGTAGCAGGAACATGCATCTGCACAAAGTTAATTGGTCGATGCAGAGCGTCTCAAGGTAATGATGGATTGCATTGCAGCAAAATTCTATATAAACACAATACTGCAAAAAACATTCTTAAAAGCTTTTAGCAAGCTGTCCAAACAGTGCTGCTGTCATTTCATCCTAAAACCTTCATGTACGTTTTGCTCATTTTATAACCTTTATAGGCTACTGCTGGGAACAGGATTCACTATCAGCTGATGTAAATCTTTTTGTAAGTCTAGTTTCTGAAAAGTTGAACATGTGAGAGTGACTGGCGTGTGTGCATGATTTATACATTTACAGTATTTATGAGTACATTATACTCTGACGCATTCAAGCATAAAGCAACCGTCTTATGTGACAGTGTGTTGGACGTTGATAAAGATATTGTTTGTTCTACCTTTGGGTTTAAAAAAGGGAGGATGCGGAAGCGGTTGGATAGGTCTGCTCGTATTATTTACCATTTTTTGTAGTCATCACCTTTCCACTCTGCTTGTATTTGAAAGTGAAGAAAGAAAAGTAGCACTGCCTTCTTTGTAACTTATTAATGCCATATTATAAGAACAGACAGAGACAATTAGTGTTAGTTTGATATGTAGAAACTCACATTCAACTTTTCAAACAGCATGTTTTCTTTACTATTTCAACATAGAGTGTTGAAGACAAACAATATATATCCTTCATAACAGTATTCCAAAAACAATTATACATTTGTTTTACAGTCAGCTACTTTTGTCTTTGGTGGATGAGTATTTTTGTAGATCATGAATTTCTCAATAATCTGAACGGTGAGGACCTATACGGTGGCCAACAGGTGCAAACGCGTTACAACAGCCCAAAACATTTCCGTTGGGAGAAACGCGGCGCAGTTTAAAAAAACGGTGCACATACAAAAACATAAATGTGCTACAACACATGAAAATCTAGAAACAACTTCGCCAACACTAACAAACACAAAGCGCACTTGTTGACGTTTGGGGATTATAAAGTTGGCCAAATTTCACTGTCTTTGGAAACTCACCTAAAATGTAATTATTAAAGTCTTATTTTAACAATGTGATCAGACGATCCCTTCCGATTTTATTGCCTATCTGCGTATTAAGCTAGCTAGCTACCGTAGCTAACCCAATCATTTCGAAAGTTGGCCAACTTTATAAATCCCGAAAACCTCAACAAGCGCTCCGCTCCCAGCTGTGTGCATCACTTTTTAGGGCTCCCTGGTTTCCGTGTGTTTTGACCCATTACAGCATTTTGTATTTGCAGCACTTTTAGAAAATGCTGAACATGTTTCCTACAGTTGGTGAAGATGTTTCTTTATTATCATGTGTTTTGGCACATGTGTTTTTATATTTGTATCGTTTTTGAAAGTGCAGTGCTTGTCTCCTAATGGGTTTTTTGGCCGTTCCAGTAACATATTTAAAAGAAAGTTCTATAGTATTTTGATATGTGAAAAAGTGTTATTGGATGCCAATGATAACGGGAGTGGGTTAATTACAGGATATATGCAGAGTATTCTTTTAAAGCAAGGGTTCAGTATCACACATACATTTTGTACTTTGTAATGTCAGATCTGCAGGACAGTTTCTCTGTATAATTCTAAACTATACAACTTACATACATGGCGATCACAGTGGAAGTCTTTATAAACCAAGTCATTTACCGTGTGAGGGTTTTATAGTCAATTAAACAGTATTTTCATCACATGTTAAGAGATTTCTGAAAAATGTAGTAACTATGTACCATTTAAGTTGTGTATATATGTGTGAAATATTTTCATATGATTCTCCAAAGGATTTGTGAAGTCCGCTGGGACACTTTCGTGAAATGTTGTGAAGTATGACAAAAGCATTAATGACAATGTCTGTAGTTTTTGTTTATACTGTACTGTATTTAACTTTGGCAGTCTTGACACATTGACTCCACACTGCTGTTTGAATGTAACTGGTTGTGTTTTATTCTCTGTGAAAAACATATATATATACATATATTTACGTACAAGGTGTCTTTTTATTATTTCAGTGATAAGACAACGTTGCTTTCTGCATTTAATACAGTTTAGAACATCAACAACAACCATCAACTCTATTATTTAATTTTTTGGCTTAATTTTTTGTATTGACACACATGTTTAAATAAAAAGCACATATTTGACTTTCACTAGTTCCAGTATAGGTAGTTTTGTGGTCAGTATGAGGGATTATGTTATCAAATATGTGCAATCCTACAATTCCAGAACAGAAGTATGAATATAAGATAAAGTAAGGTTCAGAATTCAAAGCTTTTTTAGAAAAGTGGTTTTAAATGTCTTTGTGTCACTCCAAATTTCAGAAAATCCCCAATGTTTATGGGATTAATAGTGATACATCAAGCTATGAATCATTTATGGAAAAGCCTTTCTTTAAAAAAACTATTCAGAATAAGGATTCAACTTTAAGGTTTGTTTAATAGGTAGAGATTTGTGTTGATAGATATTTAAATAGTATTGTTCCATCTTGTACAATTATTAGCATTTAGCAAGAAACTACAGATGAATTGGAAAAACAAATGGATATCAAAATGCTAATTTGTATTTTGACTATTTTCTTTTTAGTAGTCTGAAATGTTATGGAGGCAACCAAAAAATGCAAAGTTGGCCAGTCCATAGAAACAGTTTTAGCCTGAAGTGTATCAGCGTAACATCCTTCATATTTGTCTCATTGATTGCAAACAATATGAGTTAAGTGTCGAAGTATGGTCTTCCAAATCCTTGAGATCACGATGTAACTAATTTGACACCGCTGTGCCTGGTGGGGGGGTTTTGTAATAAGAAACATCTACTACACTGGAAAGAGTCCCCACAGCAACTGTCAAACAAACAAGCTTTATTTTTGTAGAACGCTCAGGTCCCAAATCTTCAAAGTGGACAAAATATATATTAAAAACATGTAACAGCACAGTGTACAGTAAGTGTAAATATACGTATAGTGTATGGCGTAAAAGTGAATGTTTTAGATGGAGAAGATACCCTAAAGTATAAATTCACATTTTTTTTTAATCAAATTAAATGGAAAAAGTCTGCATTCATCTGGATGATACCTTACTAATGGTTTGCATTTTTCTCGAACAACATAATAACCTTAAAGGTGGGGTATGTAATTTTGGAGAAACCAGCTCGAGTGCGCTAGAATTTGAAAATACACAACCGGAAAAAATCTGAGATTTTTTCCGGTTGTGTATTTTCAAATTCTAGCGCACTCGAGCTGGTTTCTCCAAAATTACATACCCCACCTTTAAGGTTATTATGTTGTTCGAGAANACACATAAAAACAATAATTCAATAACGTGCTTTAACCACTAGGCGGTGCACACAAGGTACACACAGCATAATAACTTTGTATTATTAGTGTAGGACACTTATGTATGTACAACATCTGAAGATGTGTAGTTTTATTCATGCTTTCACATAATTTTACAGCATATTGCTATACTATTTCAGACTCAGTATTTACATTCTTATATTCAAAGAAAATCAGTAATATCTTTAAAAACTACAAGTCCTTTTATATCAGCTGTGCACCGTTATGGTGTAAATATAACCTATCTATGAATTAGATCAAATGTAAAAGTCAGCCGAATTACTATTGATACTGCGAGGAGACGTATTGTGTGAAGAGAAATTGAAGATGTTGTTTAATTGTTGATATATTTATGATCCACGTCAAGTATTCAGTTTCGGCGGCATTTCTTCCAGTTTTTCCAAAGGTCTTCTCATCAGGGCTCTATAAATAAAGAACTACGGCAGATCTGTAATATGTAATGCAGCCGAACCGTGTATTACAATGCCGTTATGTGATAACTTTCAAAGAGAAAAGCAAGAACACTCGGAATTAAGTATTATTTTATTCTTTTAAAATGTTTTTCCGATTTCATATCATATAAACACCAAATCCTAACATGCATTGCGGCTAAAACATCGAATCAGCGAGCTTAAACCATAGCTGAGGATCTTGGGTAATCACTCGAAGTGCTTACGTCTGTTTCCGGTTATTTTTATTTTGAAATTCAGTTCCTGACAGACACCAAAAAAGGCTGAGATTATGGAACTAAACAAATAAATAAAAACAAGTATAATTGTTTGTTATTGGTGAGTAAATAACAGTGTGTTATTTTGAAAAGAATAACAAATTTCAGTATTCTGAGACTTTGAGCTCCATTTATTTTCCTCGCAGACGGCAGCAAAAGTCCGAAATTATACGATTTAAAATAAAAGCAATAATTGTGGCTTGCTATTGATTAAGGACATGTTTTTATGAACCACACAGCTTCCGGTCTTCCGATAACATGTAATGCCGTGAGACTACCAATAGAAATACATCGCTTTTAAAATCGTGCTGTGCAACACGAAAAAAAGGGGAAAATCGTGTTGGTGAACACGAATCAATAATGAATTTTGGTGTAGTCATCTGTTAGCATTTTTCGCTCGTTGCTAATTCAGAGGCTCAGCGTTAGCATTGTGTTTTTTTTTGTTAAAAAAATAATTTAAATGATCAGTTAAATGAGTTTATTTCCGTTACATGGATATAAAACATTAATAGTTTATTAAATTAACATGCCCTCAGACACGGTTTCCTGCAAGATGTTGCAGGAGGCCCCCGGTACCGGGGTCTCTCGGGCTTAACAGGTTTTAATAGATGGTCCTTGGTAATTTGTTAGTAAGTTGGGAAAAATACAAAACAGAATATACTATTTTATTTCAGACTTCTAAAACGTAATTCTGTACTTTGTCAGTCGGGGCGCTAGCTAGACCAACTACAGCTGGACTACTTTGCACATGATGCCGACTGTTCTGACTTCTGCAGTGTCTTGTAGGTGGGAATGTGGTTAATGTTCTTGGACTTATGAGAGGTTAAGTGTCCTGCAGATGGTGTGAGTGCATATTATAGTTTGACACTTTCACTTGATCCAGAGTAAGCTTTATATGAACTGACAGGAAACAAATTAAAGCAAAAAAAGGCCTGAATAGGAAACATAATTGATGCAGATGCTGTACAGAGCAGGAGGGGTCACTGCATGTGTTGATGAGTATGAAGATGATGTGAATCACATGATGTGGACTTTCTACAGTTTAACATCTACGGGAACACCTGTCCACACTGTGTTCCCAAGGAGGCCCCTGCCGGGAAGCTATAGGCTATGAAGAGAAGTTTGTCAGGGTTCAGCGAGAGATGGAGAGATTGACAGGAAGGAGAGTAAGAGAAAGAGTTAATATAGAAAACCAAAATCACCTCTTTAAGCCATTCCAAATGTTGCGCCTCCCACCAACTCTGTAATACACCCTTTATTGAATACACTTGAAAAACCATGTGATATTTCACAGCAGGAAGAATAATTAACCTAAAAATGAACTTAAGCACAGAAATTACCCCAAACAGATGTTTCATAAGCAAATATATTCTGCTAACCCTAAACAGCAGAACACACACATAGTGGGGATGTTTGGACATAAGGCCATTCGAGTGTCATGGAAAGCAGAGCCCGGTACCCAAATGCAGCACACAGAAGCACTTCAAAGGAAGTCATAACATAAATATACCTTTTATGTCAGTAATCCAAGACAAGATGAAACCGAACAGAACTTTCCCATACAAGGATCGACAAGGATCCTCAAAAGACAAGGACTTAATTACAAGCAGAACCAATCGCATTGACAATATACAGCTGGAGGGGGCAGGCAAAAACACAAGGGCAGCAGGTGAACAGAATCAGGGTGGGGCATACAATCAGGAAGGAAAAGCAGACTCAACACAGGGGTTGAACACTTTTCAAAATAAAAGAGAAAACACAATGACAGATTATTTAAAAGAGCAACTCCTATTCAGCAGGCATGGAAATAATTAGTTTCGTTGATTAAAAGTTAAGTTTAGGGAGAGTTAAGAATGTAAAATATGATAGACCTATTGCATTTAAGAAGACAATCGTATACACATCACATACATTATGCCAATGTATTCTCAAAATAAATTGAAAACACCGTTCTTAATATTCCCATAAACATTTGTAGAAGACAATCACGATTTAAAAAAAGTCCATCAAACAGTTGGTCTTAGTTCCCTGCCTCAGATCTTTCCTGAGTTTTGGCAACATTCCTGAAATCCTGCTTGTCTGACCTGTTGACAGTAATTTAGGAGATTCCCCAAAGGTAAAGAATCCTTCCTGCGTTTTTCCAGTGAAGTTGGCCTTTCTCCTACATATACACAGCAGCAGCTATCAGTGCAGGACAGGGTAAATGTTTTCATGAAACTAAAGGCCTCCCTTCGTCCCCATTTCCTCTGCTGTCATGGAGGGCTGCAGGATTGGAGTGATTAGATAGCGACAAGCACCCACACTGGCGCCTCCTCATCCTGTGGAGCTTTTTGTGCGGTGCAGTAAAGGCGAGATACTACATTGTTGTGTTGAAATAAATCCCTCTCTCCATACCCCTGTACACTGGAATAAGGGGGGAACGTCTTCGTCTTCAATGGGAAGCTCATGTGCTAATCTGTTAACCAAGCACTGACACTGGCAACATTGTTAACTTCTTCCTTGGATTGGATTGCGATTGGATCCTGTCTGTAATGGATTTAAAAGATTCCCTAGAGAAAATAACAACATTTGATTGGCTTCTAACTCTTTGATGATTTAAGTAAGATTTCAGTTTAGGTCAACAATTTTCCAATTATGTCATTACTTTTCGGTCAGCGCGTTCTCACTACCAACTCTGGGTAGCTCTGGGCATCAAACTATAACACTCCACAAAACTTGCTAGTGGAGCATGCTCGTGAACTGTTAGGGCCTGAGCCTCGCAGCGGGGAGCGCATAATTGTGCCGAAATTTCCGCATTACATGAATTGCGACGCATTTGCGCATTACATGAATTGCGCCTATGTAACACATGAGCTTCTATTGGCTAGTTCTGCAAAACATTGTAAGTGATAGGCGAAGGGGCGGGATACCTCGAAGTGGTTGAGTAATCACAACAGAGCCGGCCAGCTAACCAATCAGAGCAGTCTTAATGTAGCGACTTAATTTACTAAACAATGTCAGGACAAAGTATGTGCTTTTTTTTGCCCACCTCAAATGTCAAACTGCCTTAGTCTGAAGTAGCAAGTGTTGGAATGTTTTCATGGCAAACCAATTATTTTTCCTTCCGTCTCATTTAGAATGAGTTCATATATTTAGACAGTTAAATAAAATAAACTCTCACTATAGTCAAAAAGTGTAAGTAAGAGAACAATGCACCATCTCCCGAGTTGTGTAGTGTACACGTGTATCACCACCTTTGAGGCTAAGTGCAGGCGACAGCGCCCTAAAGCAGCCCCCCCTCACCAGTGAGCAGCCAATGGTGTGCAGCCATACTTATTCAGGTCACGGGAAAAAATCGTGACAAGCTACCAGAGAAAAGACATGAAATGTTTGTTCACGTAGAACTACAAAGAACGTGTGACTCATGTGCAAGTCTTACCATTTGTACAACTTTTGCTGTTGTGGTCAAAGCTGCTACGTGCGGAAAAGTTAGAAACGGGTCGAAAGAAATTCCATGTGTCAGCTCAGGGTGTTTGGAGGCGGTGGAGTGGTATAAATGAGTGGTACTGGGAGTTATAATTGGACAAAGTGGGATTCAGAAGGGTGGGGGACATGTCTTTAGCCCCGTGTTGTTCTACAGACTGCAGCTAGAGTTGTGAATGAACTTTTGAACTTGTTGAATTACAGTACAAGTACATTCCAGTGTAGAGACGACTGTGCATTAAATAGGGCTCTGTTGCCGACTGTGCTAATGGACTTCTTTGTTTAAATGCGTATACTGGAAACAAAAGACTGTCAAAACAAACCATTAGGATCTATTTATGGATGTACAGTTTCTGGAGCATGGGAGATGGAGTGTGTTGGTAATAACAAAATAAAATACTGCTGCATAATCTAGCAGTGCTGCATAAATGATTCTCTTAATTTCATAAATAATAAAACACCACTAAATGTACCATGAGGACCGCTCTAATCTGAGGTCTGCATTAATAATGTATCCTTTCAGAGGAGGATTTGATTAACTGAATAGTGTCTATAATGTATTGTTAATGGTAAGCCCCATACTGCTTTGCATTGGAATGTATGGCATTATTTCCAAATTCTAAATGAGTGAATTATGAAAATAAATTATAT